GGAATATTTCCCTTGTGATAGTTTCGTTTTGACGCTGGGCGCGTTTTATTTATGTAAACGGAATAAATTCTGGACTTCGGTGTTTTACCTCCTGCGCCTGACTCCTTCATTCACACCTCGTCACAGCATAGCTGTCTTGCTGGACTGTTGGTCTCTTCTGATTGGGATGTTGTCCTGTTAGCATGGGGGGTAGTGGGGTGGGTGGAATTTCTGAAGTTCTGAATCTCCATAGGTCTGTATGGGGAACGTCAAGTGGGGATTGTAGTTTTGGTCAGGAAAAGCTCATGGCCCTACTCCTCATCACTGCTTGAAACCTCTAAGAGTTGTATCAGTAATAGCATCATTCCCATATTGTTAATTACAATGTTATAAGACCCAGTAATGGAGCAAAAATTGCTAAAGTTCAGGCCAGTAAAGTTTTCTGCTGAAAAAGCTGTTATGTTAAGCATGTTTATCCAAAAACACATCCATGGCTGGTAAGCAACAAACATTGAGCACGTGCCATAATGAATTTTAGGTCCATTTAGCACCACTTTCCATTAAGTCAATATTAGTTAAATATTTAACATGCTGTTAGTTCAATTGACTGCTGCATTTTCAGTTCCCATGAGACCTGATCAAATATTGTCAGCAAAACCACAAACATCACATTCAGAAGTCTCTTTGTAAGAAGCATTAGTTATTTTAGGTTTCACAGACAAACTTACAGCTTGCTTCCTTTCCTCCTCCTGTTGAGAAAAACGTTATTCATGTACTGTCATAAAAACACACAATAGTATAATCAATCAATGAAGACAATTTCTTTCACATGTAAAAACCTATTGGGATTTTCTCCCATATAGTAGGCCTATAGCAAGTCTGATGCTAGCATGCTCATGCTAGGTAGGGCTAACTGGATTAGCATTGATCCCTTCAGTTGAGTAATTAGATTGATAGCCTTACCACTTAAGTCAGTAGAGTAAGCAGTTTATGTAAGACTTCTTAAACTCCTATCCCCATTGACTGTTGTTATGACTGACTCTCTGACTGAATGTTATCCTACAGTTGAAGTCGGAAGTTTACATACACTTAGGTTGGAGTCATTAAAACTCGTTTTTCAACCACTCCACAAATTTCTTTTTAACAAACTATAGTTTTGGCAAGTCGGTTAGAACATCTACTTTGTGCAGGACACAAGTAATGTTTCCAACAATTGTTTACAGACAGATTATTTCACTTATAATTAACTGTATCACAATTCCAGTGGGTCAGAAGTTTACATACACTAAGTTGACTGTGCCTTTAAACAGCTTGGAAAATTCCAGAAAATGATGTCATGGCTTTAGAAGCTTCTAATAGGCTAATTTACATAATTTGAGTCAATTGGAGGTGTACCTGTGGATGTATTTCAAGGCCTACCTTCAAACTCAGTGCCTCTTTGCTTGACATCATGGGAAAATCAAAACAAATCAGCCAAGACCTCAGAAAAAAATATTGTAGACCTCCACAAGTCTGGTTCATCCTTGGGAGCAATTTCCAAACGCCTGAAGGTACCACGTTCATCTGTACAAACAATAGTACGCAAGTATAAACACCATGGGACCATGCAGCCGTCATTCCACTCAGGAAGGAGACGCGTTCTGTCTCTTAGAGATTAATGTACTTTGGTGCGAAAAGTGTAAATCAATCCCAGAACAACAGCAAAGGACCTTGTGAAGATGCTGGAGGAAACAGGTACAAAAGTATCTATATCCACAGTAAAACAAGTCCTATATCGACATAACCTGAAAGGCTGCTCAGCAAGGAAGAAGCCACTGTTCCAAAACCGCCATAAAAAAGCCAGACTACGGTTTGCAACTGCACATGGGGTCAAAGATCATACTTTTTGGAGAAATGTCCTCTGGTCTGATGAAACAAGAATATAACTGTTTGGCCATAATGACCATCGTTATGTTTGGAGGAAAAAGGGGAAGGCTTGCAAGCCGAAGAACACCATCCCAAACGTGAAGCACGGGGGTGGCAGCATCATGCTGTGGGCGTGCTTTGCTGCAGGAGGGACTGGTGCACTTCACAAAATAGATGGCATCATGAGGAAGGAAAATTATGTGGATATATTGAAACAACATCTCAAGACATCAGTCAGGAAGTTAAAGCTTGATCGCAAATGGGTCTTCCAAATGGACAATGACCCCAAGCATACTTCCAAAGTTGTGGCAAAATGGCTTAAGGACAACAAAGTCAAGGTATTGGAGTGGCCATCACAAAGCCCTGACCTCAATCCTATAGAACATTTGTGGGCAGAACTGAAAAAGAGTGTGCGAGCAAGGAGGCCTACAAACCTGACTCAGTTACACCAGCTCTGTCAGGAGGAATGGGCCAAAATTAACCCAACTTACTGTGGGAAGCTTGTGGAAGGCTACCCAAAACGTTTGACCCAAGTTAAACAATTTAAAGGCAATGCTACCAAATACTAATTGAGTGTATGTAAACTTCTGACCCACTGGGAATGAGATGAAAGAAATAAAAGCTGAAACAAATCATTCTCTCTACTATTATTCTGACATTTCACATTCTTAAAATAAAGTGGTGATCCTAACTGACCTAAGACAGGGAATTTCTACTAGGATTAAATGTCAGGAATTGTGAAAACTGAGTTTAAATGTATTTGGCTAAGGTGTATGTAAACTTCCGACTTCAACTGTATATACAGTTTTATTATGTGATAGTTATGTTGGTTGTATGTTGTCAGTGGTCATAATCATATGATCAAAACACTGTCCTTAGTAGAATGACTGGAAAATGTTAAATCCCAAATATTTTAACATGAAGAAACTGGGGAACACAGTCATTTTCGATACATTTACATTTGAGTCATTTAGCAGACGCTCTTATCCAGAGGGACTTACAGTTTGTGAGTGCATACATATTACTTTTTTTTCATACTGGTCCCCCGTGGGAAACGAACCCACAACCCTGGCATTGCAAACGCCATGCTCTACCAATTGAGCTACACAGGACTATAAAGAAAGTTATGGATTATGGTAAGAAGATGAGAAAGGAAGACTTGTCAAGACCAGAGCAACTCCTCAGGATTTACTGAAGCTGGGGAAGCTTCCTCATGTAGTCCCGTGTAGCTCAGTTGGTAGAGCATGGCGTTTGCAACGCCAGGGTTGTGGGTTCGATTCCCACTGGGGGCCAGTATGATAATGTACAGTGGGGGAAAAAATTATTTAGTCAGCCACCAATTGTGCAAGTTATCCCACTTAAAAATATGAGAGAGGCCTGTAATTTTCATCATAGGTACACGTCAACTATGACAGACAAATTGAGAAAAAAGAATCCAGAAAATCACATTGTAGGATTTTTAATGAATTTATTTGCAAATTATGGTGGAAAATAAGTATTTGGTCACCTACAAACAAGCAAGATTTCTGGCTCTCACAGACCTGTAACTTCTTCTTTAAGAGGCTCCTCTGTCCTCCACTCGTTACCTATATTAATGGCACCTGTTTGAACTTGTTATCAGTATAAAAGACACCTGTCCACAACCTCAAACAGTCACACTCCAAACTCCACCATGGCCAAGACCAAAGAGCTGTCAAAGGACACCGGAAACAAAATTGTAGACCTGCACCAGGCTGGGAAGACTGAATCTGCAGCTTGGTTTGAAGAAATCAACTGTGGGAGCAATTATTAGGAAATGGAAGACATACAAGACCACTGATAATCTCCCTCGATCTGGGGCTCCACGCAAGATCTCACCCCGTGGGGTCAAAATGATCACAAGAACGGTGAGCAAAAATCCCAGAACCACACGGGGGGACCTAGTGAATGACCTGCAGAGAGCTGGGACCAAAGTAACAAAGCCTACCATCAGTAACACACTACGCCGCCAGGGACTCAAATCCTGCAGTGCCAGACGTGTCCCCCTGCTTAAGCCAGTACATGTCCAGGCCCGTCTGAAGTTTGCTAGAGTGCATTTGGATGATCCAGAAGAGGATTGGGAGAATGTCATATGGTCAGACGAAACCAAAATATAACTTTTTGGTAAAAACTCAACTCGTCGTGTTTGGAGGACAAAGAATGCCGAGTTGCATCCAAAGAACACCATACCTACTGTGAAGCATGGGGGTGGAAATATCATGCTTTGGGGCTGTTTTTCTGCAAAGGGACCAGGACGACTGATCCGTGTAAAGGAAAGAATGAATGGGGCCATGTATCGTGAGATTTTGAGTGAAAACCTCCTTCCATCAGCAAGGGCATTGAAGATGAAACGTGGCTGGGTCTTTCAGCATGACAATGATCCCAAACACACCGCCCGGGCAACGAAGGAGTGGCTTCGTAAGAAGCATTTCAAGGTCCTGGAGTGGCCTAGCCAGTCTCCAGATCTCAACCCCATAGAAAATCTTTGGAGGGAGTTGAAAGTCCGTGTTGCCCAGCGACAGCCCCAAAACATCACTGCTCTAGAGGAGATCTGCATGGAGGAATGGGCCAAAATACCAGCAACAGTGTGTGAAAACCTTGTGAAGACTTGCAGAAAACGTTTGACCTGTGTCATTGCCAACAAAGGGTATATAACAAAGTGTTGAGAAACTTTTGTTATTGACCAAATACTTATTTTCCACCATAATTTGCAAATAAATTCATAAAAAATCCTACAATGTGATTTTCTGGATTTCTTTTACTCATTTTGTCTGTCATAGTTGACGTGTACCTATGATGAAAATTACAGGCCTCTCTCATCTTTTTAAGTGGGAGAACTTGCACAATTGGTGGCTGACTAAATACTTTTTTTCCCCACTGTATGCACTCACTAACTGTAACTCTGGATAAGAGCGTCTGCTAAATGACTCAAATGTAAAATGTAATGATGAAGCCCCAGTGAGATTTGAAGAAGTGCTCGATTTGAAGAAGTGCTCTCGCTAGTGGTTGGATAATGAAAAGTGTGTTGGATTTTCTACCCTTCTCCTTAGCAGGCCTACATTACAGTAGAAATGAAACTGTATGGCTTTCTCACGCACCTTCAGCAGCAGCATCAGCTGCTCCAGCTGTACCATGAGTTCCCTGCGACTCTCCTGCAGAGCAGACATCCTCTGCTCCAGCTCATCTTTGCGTTGCCTGGTAGAGGAAAAACAGCCATAATATATACACATTTATTCACAGATTTCTTTGTAGAAGAATTTGAGATGGGTCTACCTGAGAAGCCGTAGCTCGGCCAGCAGAGTGGGGTTCTGTTGGGACGTGCTCGTTGGAGGCTGGGAGGCCTGCTCGTGCTGCACTCTCAGACGCTGGATCTCCTGCAAGATCTCTCTGTGACACAAACACAGGCCAGTTGAAGCTAATATATCACATATGTAAGCTTTCTGAGGTAGTTTTGTTTATGTGATTTAGATGGTGTGATGGCTTACAGGGGGGTCTACCAGCTAGCTTGACCACATTAAGTCACCAGACTTGAGTTGCTTTTATATTTTTCTGGTACTACCATGCAAACAGGGCTACAGCTCATTTGAATTACTACCAACCACAGTTTGTGTGGGAAGCACATTGTAATTGGGAAGCACATTGAGCACCACATTAAATAACCTAGCACATTCCGTTCATGTAATTTGGCACGATGGCAGGGTTGGAAAGAATAGGTGAACAGAGAGAGAAAAGCAAATTCAGATGGAAACCATCCCTGACCTGTTTTTGCTCTCTAGCTCAGCAATAAGCTGCCTCTGCTGCTTGTTGGCATCCAGAGAGAAAGAGATGTCGCTGTGGACCCTCTGCTGCTGTTGCTGTAATACACAGAGACACATGACATTAACATTACACACAGGGACACATGACATTATCATTACACACAGGGACACATACCATTATCATTACACATGGGGACATATTACATTATCATTACACACAGGGACACATTACATTATGATTACACACAGGGACACATACCATTATCATTATACACAGGGACATATGACATTATCATTACATACAGAGACACATTACATTATCATTACACACAGAGACTATCATTACACACAGAGACACATTACATTTTCATTACACACAGGGAACCATGATATTATCATTACACACAGGGACACATACCATTATCATTACACATAGGGACATATGACATTATCATTACACACAGAGACACATGACACTATCATTACACACAGAGACACATGACATTTTCATTACACACAGGGAACCATGATATTATCATAACACACAGGGAACCATGACATTATCGACTGTACTGAGGTCATCTGGCTTATGTTATTTCCTTATACACTACTACATTACATTTACATTTTAGTCATTTAGCAGACGCTCTTATCCAGAGCGACTTACAGTTAGTGAGTGCATACATTTTTCATACTGGCCCCCCGTGGGAAACGAACCCACAACCCTGGCGTTGCAAGCGCCATGCTCTACCAACTGAGCTACAGTGGACTATAGCAGTGATAAGCACCCACAGGGAACACTGATGGGTCATGATTACAGGCACGAGTTCTTCCTGAATGGGTGACCTGACTCAGGAAAACAGGCATTTGGAACAAATGTGTATTAGCGCTGAGCACATGTCAGGATGCTATTCATGGTATTTTCTCCCACTATGACCTCAGATAGCATGTGTGTCTCACCGCGGCGGCTGCGTCAGAGGCCAGTCTAGCAGCGTAGCGGGCGATGAGACTGTGCTCTTCCTCCTGGTGGTAACTGCTCTCCAGCAAACTGATCAACAGGTGGAGAGAGGAGGGGAGACAGTCATCTGTCATCTACATATCTACATATTTACTGCAGTGAGGTACTGCAACTAGACACACATACACAAAATACTGCAGCCAAATATAAAGAGTAGTTCTGCATTTACTTAAATTACTGTACATCAATTTCAAATGATAATTGGAACAGTATCTGTATGATTGGTTAGTTAATTATAATGTATTTACATGCAAACACTGGAGAGTAGTTTGTACCTCGCCTGAGGTAGAGTACCTTATGATAAGCTGTAGACCACACTATCTACCAAGAGAGTTTTCATCTATATTATTCGTAGCCATCTATTTACCACCACAAACCGATGCTGGCACTAAGACCACACTCTACGAGCTGTATAAGGCCATAAGCAAACAAGAAAATGCTCAGCCAGAAGCGGCGCTCCTAGTGGCCGGGGACTTTAATGCAGGCAAACTTAAATCAGTTTTACCTAATTTCTACCAGCATGTCACATGTGCAACCATAGGGAAAAATAACTCTAGACCACCTTTACTCCACACACAGAGACGCAAACAAAGCTCTCCCTCGCCATCCATTTGGCAAATCTGACCATAATTATATCCTCCTGATTCCTGCTTACAAGCAAAAACTAAAGCAGGAAGTACCAGTGACTCGCTCAGTACGGAAGTGGTCAGATGATGCAGATGCTACACTAGAGGACTGTTTTGCTAGCACAGACTGGAATATGTTCTGAAATTCATCCAATGGCATTGAGGAGTATACCACCTCAGTCATCGGCTTCATCAATAAGTGCATCGACGACGTCGTCCCCACAGTGACTGTACGTACATATCCCAACCAGAAGCCATGGATTACAGTCAAAGCTCGATCTTTAACCAGAGATCACATTTTTTGTACTGTAAAACTATTTGGTGGAATGTGCTTTGTGGCTGCCCGGACAGGCAAGTAAAACTTGGTCCCGAAAAAAATATTTAATTTGCTTTGAAACCATAACATTTGAGCATTTGTGGGGCACAACAAAAAGGAAACCAAGCCAAGCATCACACAGTTCTTCTCCTTAAATTCCCTTTCCCCTCCATGTCTCATTCACTCAATTGCGTTCCGACCGCTCTCTACACACACACCTGCTGAGTGTGCACACAAGCTCCCGTTAGGCCTACAGAAATAAATGCCTATAAAAACGTATCTAACTGATGGGATACACAAACTACATTCCTTGCCAAATGACGACAGTTTTATTACAAATTCAAAATGGACTGGTTGATTGAAGTAGGAAAATATGTGTTCCAACAACGAGCTACAGTTTTGGAATAATTGTGTCCCATCTATTTTCCACTTAGGCTACTTTGCGAACTGCTAGTGCCATTTGTGACTCGTTTCAGGAAAGTAGGCGTATGTCGCGCGTCACTACTTCACAGGAGAGGCATTAGAATGTAAACTTTTTTTAAATCAAAATGCGTTTTTTTGCAGAAATGCCTTCTGGAACATGTAAACTTTCATGTGCCTTAATAACAAACTTGCATGCCATCTGTAAATACGAATAAAATTGTTAAATTACGAGCCTAGTTGGTTTAGCCACGGAAAAAGACAGGAACCTTCCCACTAGCCATGATTGGCTGAGATAATGGATGGGCTGGACATGCCGAGAGATGAGTTCGGATTGGTCTGCCATGTAGCACGCTTCTGTCTATAACATGAGCTGGTCAGTATGTGTAGGTAATCCTTTCTAACATGGCTTTTTTGAAAGATATCACGTAGTAGAACTGCAAAAAGGTGGCTCTCCACTGGAATTAGAGTATGATAGCTAAGGAGATGGAGAAAATGTTGCAGTTTGATTGCAAATATGCAGAGGGAGTCGAAAAGAGAACACACAGAAGGCTGTTGTATAAAACACCTGTCTCCGGACATCTTCAAACTAAGGGCAACCATGGCATCCGTGACAAAGAGGGAGAAGCGTCCATTCATGTACAGTTGAAGTCGGAAGTTTACATACACCTTAGCCAAATATATTTAAACTCAGTTTTTCACAAATCCTGACATTTAATCTTAGTAAAGATTCCCTGTCTTAGGTCAGTTAGGATCACCACTTTATTTTAAGAATGTGAAATGTCAGAATAATAGTAGAGAGAATTATTTATTTCAGCTTTTATTTCTTTCATCACATTCCAAGTGGGTCAGAAGTTTACATACACCCAATTAGTATTTGGTAGCATTGCCTTTAAATTGTTTAACTTGGGTCAAACGTTTCGGGTATCCTTCCACAAGCTTCCCACAATAAGTTGGGTGAATTTTGGCCCATTCCTCCTGACAGAGCTGGTGTAACTGAGTCAGGTTTGTAGGCCTCCTTGCTCGCACACGCTTTTTCAGTTCTGCCCACAAATGTTCTATAGGATTGAGGTCAGGGCTTTGTGATGGCCACTCCAATACCTTGACTTTGTTGTCCTTAAGCCATTTTGCCACAATTTTGGAAGTATGCTTGGGGTCATTGTCCATTTGGAAGACCCATTTGTGACCAAGCTTTAACTTCCTGACTGATGTCTTGAGATATTGCTTCAATATATCCACATAATTTTCCATCCTCATAATGTCATCTACAGTGGGGAAAAAAGGATTTAGTCAGCCACCAATTGTGCAAGTTCTCCCACTTCAAAAGATGAGAGAGGCCTGTAATTTTCATCATAGGTACACGTCAACTATGACAGACAAATTGAGAAAAAAAATCCAGAAAATCACATTGTAGGATTTTTAATGAATTTATTTGCAAATTATGGTGGAAAATAAGTATTTGGTCAATAACAAAAGTTTCTCAATACTTTGTTATATACCCTTTGTTGGCAATGACACAGGTCAAACGTTTTCTGTAAGTCTTCACAAGGTTTTCACACACTGTTGCTGGTATTTTGGCCCATTCCTCCATGCAGATCTCCTCTAGAGCAGTGATGTTTTGGGGCTGTCGCTGGGCAACACGGACTTTCAACTCCCTCCAAAGATTTTCTATGGGGTTGAGATCTGGAGACTGGCTAGGCCACTCCAGGACCTTGAAATGCTTCTTACGAATGACCCAAAACACACGGACAAGGCAACAAAGGAGTTGCTCAAGAAGAAGCACATTAAGGTCCTGGAGTGGCCTAGTCAGTCTCCAGACCTTATTCCCATAGAAAATATGTGGAGGGAGCTGAAGGTTTGAGTTGCCAAACATCAGCTTAGAAACCTTAATGACTTGGAGAAGATCTGCAAAGAGGAGTGGAACAAAATCCCTCCTGAGATGTGTGCGAACCTGGTGGCTAACTACAAGAAAAGTCTGACCTCAGTGATTGCCAACAAGGGTTTTGCCACCAAGTACTAAGTAATGTTTTGCAGATGGGTCACATATTTATTTCCCTAATTAAAATGCAAATCAATTTATAACATTTTTGACATGCGTTTTTCTGGATTTTGTTGTTGTTATTCTGTCTCTCACTGTTCAAATATACCTACCATTAAAATGATAGACTGATCATTTCTTTGTCAGTGGGCAAACGTACAAAATCAGCAGAGGATCAAATACTTTTTTCCCTCACTGTATGGGGCAATTTAGCAATTAGGATTTGATATCTGTAATGGTCATGATAAATTTGGCATTGTCGCGCACTATTGGCATAGGCCTATCTATAGATAAATGCGGACATACTTCTTTCCAGTGCAGGCCTTGTGTTCTAAAAATCTTTTTTTATTTCATTCAAATACTCGAACAGTCAAACAATGTCAAATGCCCATCCCTAGAAGGTACATATCTTTACAAACCTGGCTCTATGAATGGGGTCAGTGTTTAAACCAATGGAGCCTTTGTCTCATCAAGCGCAGGTGCAGTTCCTATAAGTAGAGATGGAGGACTCACTAAAGCCAGAAAACTATGTGTGTAACTTCTCCTGTAACTTTCCCTGGTTCTACCTGGCTTGCTCAGTGTGTGTGTGTGTGTGTGTGTGTGTGTGTGTGTGTGTGTGTGTGTGTGTGTGTGTGTGTGTGTGTGTGTGTGTGTGTGTGTGTGTGTGTGTGTGTGTGTGTGTGTGTGTGTGTGTGTGTGTGTGCGTATCTACCGTGTACTTATATTATTCCTTAGTCCAAAGCTGACATTACGAGCCAGCGAAACAGAAAATAAAAGGCCATACAAGTATGTAAAAAGGAGATTGACAGAGAACACTGAAAATAGAAAAAAATTAACTTGAGAGAGAGAGACTCAAAGCTAATATTAGTGACTTGCAGCAGTTAGTTTCACTCTCCCAGGTAATGTGGGACGCCTATGAAAATGATTGTAATAGATACTCTACCCTGATGAATGGTTATTGGTCTTCACTATGCATGCACCATCTAGCATATTTCAGATAGCTCCTTGAGTATCACTGTGTAAACCCATCTATAGGAAATCAGAAGAGTGAATGGTTCCACTGCAGTGTATGCTCTATAATGACTATGTCTGCATCTGAAGTGGCACCATATTCCCTATAATAGAGCACTACTTTTGACCAGGCCTGGCCATGGTCAAAAGTAGTGCACTATATACTGTAGGGAATAGCGTGCCATTTCAGACACAGCCTATATCTATTTGAATTAGTTCACGGATGCATTTGAGCCACCAAATCATTCTCCAAGGCAGTACGCCCGCTTGGGTCACTTACCCCCTTCCTTTCAACAGATATGAAGCAGCCCTAGCCAACAGTTTTCTCTGCTCAGCTTAATTATTCTTGGTACTATAAGGCAAGCTATTTACACCAGACAAAAGAGTGAGACAACACAAACCTCCACAAATTAGTCGCATGCATTCAAATAGGTTTAGAAAAATAAAGATTGGTTAGTAGGATTCATACTGATGTGTGGATTTTAAGGGGGCTTAGAGGTGTTAATTTTCATGACAAATATGTACAGTCAGGTAACCTAACTTGATTCTGTCTTTGAGAATTCTGCATATCCGGCTTTGTTGCAGTCTTTCTGACTGATATCATATCAGATACTCACTTCTTAGTTGAGTAAGGGTTCCCTGACGTGGGCATGGAGTGGGAGAGCATGAAGTCATTGGTGCTATTCATTGGTCTGGGAGGCCTGTGGTGCAGGAGACAAACATGATGATGTTCAAACAGCCAACATGACAATAGCGGCTTCCATCATCATATGGAAGAGAAGCAACTGATGCTTACACCGTGTGTGTTTGTGTGTGTGCGCGTGTGTGCGTGTGCGTGTGTGCGTCAAGGTCTCAGAGGGCCGAAAGAGCATTGAATGGGTCTAGGGAGTCAGGACATAATAGCTGCAGTTTCTGATTGTGACACGTCACATAAAAAATGTGTGGGTGTGGATTTCCTCCTCACTCATCCGAAGGTCATTAACTCCTCATAATCGTATTGTTTACATGACCTAAAAAGGTATTCACATGTGGCACAAAGGAGGGCTGGGATTATTGAAGCAGAAACCTGTAGTAAACTGCACACAAGTTGGTTGTGCTAAAACTGAGGTGCCACTTTGAGGAACTACAGGGCATAGTATATAAGGATTGACCCTGGAGGATCAACAAGATCGGATTAAACAATAGACAAAAAAATATGGCACTAGCTACTAGTAATATAATACACTACCTTCTATAGTACTTGAGTTGATCTAATTAAATGTACTAGCAGCATATTATACATATTCTAGCAAGTATTCAAAGCAAACTTACCAGGTGTCTCTATTTTGCAGCAAGAAAAGAACAAAGAGATTTGTTACAATCACCCATGCATGCACTACAACGGCCACAGTGAGTGGTACAACTGAATTCACGTTCACATGACAATAATCTAGATGTCAAAATCAATATTTGTCTCAGATTCTCAGCCCTTTGAATGCATTGCCACTCTTTTCCACGAAACAGATTGGTCATCTGACTAGGGTTGCTAAATTCCGGGAACTTTCAATAAATTCCCTGGTTTTCCCCCAAAACAATCCTGGCTTACGTTTCCTTCTTATTCCCTCCTGATTCCGGGTAGCTTCCAACCAGTTCCCGGAATTTAGCAACCCTACATATGACTCGGCTTAGCTGTTAAGGGTTGGAATAGTAATGTATCAAAGATACAGTGGAAGTCGGAAGTTTACATACATTTAGGTTGGAGTCATTAAAACTTGTTTTTCAACCACTCCACAAATGTATTGTTAACAAACTATAGTTTCGGCAAGTCGGTTAGGACATCTACTTTGTGCATGACACTAGTAATTTTTCCAACAATTGTTTACAGACAGATTATTTCACTTATAATTCACTGTATCACAATTCCAGTGGGTCAGAAGTTTACATACACTAAGTTGACTGTGCCTTTAAACAGCTTGGAAAATTCCAGAAAATGATGTCATGGCTTTAGAAGTTTCTGATAGACCTCAGAAAAAAATGGTAGACCTCCACAAGTCTGGTTCATCCTTGGGAGCAATTTCTAAACGCCTGAAGGTACCATGTTCAACGGTACAAACAATAGTATGCAAGTATAAACACCATGGGACCACGCAGTCGTCATACCGCTCAGGAAGGAGACGCGTTCTGCCTCCTAGAGATAAACGTACTTTGGTGCGAAATGTGCAAATCAATCTCAGAACAACAGCAAAGGACCTTGTGAAGATGCTGGAGGAAACAGGTACAAAAGTATCTACAGTGAGGCAAAAAAGTATTTGATCCCCTGCTGATTTTGTACGTTTGCCCACTTACAAAGACACGATCAGTCTATAATTTTAATGGTAGGTTTATTTGAACAGTGAGAGACAGAATAACAACAAAAAAATCCAGAAAAACGCATGTCAAAAATGTTATAAATTGATTTGCATTTTAATGAGGGAAATAAGTATTTGACCCCTCTGCAAAACATGACTTAGTACTTGGTGGCAAAACCTTGTTGGCAATCACAGAGGTCAGACGTTTCTTGTAGTTGGCCACCAGGTTTGCACACATCTCAGGAGGGATTTGTTCCACTCCTCTTTGCAGATCTTCTCCAAGTCATTAAGGTTTCGAGGCTGACGTTTGGCAACTCGAACCTTCAGCTCCCTCCACAGATTTTCTATGGGATTAAGGTCTGGAGACTGGCTAGGCCACTCCAGGACCTTAATGTGCTTATTCTTGAGCCACTCCTTTGTTGCCTTGGCCGTGTGTTTTGGGTCATTGTCATGCTGGAATACCCATCCACGACCCATTTTCAATGCCATGGCTGAGGGAAGGAGGTTCTCACCCAAGATTTGACGGTACATGGCCCTGTCCATCGTCCCTTTGATGCGGTGAAGTTGTCCTGTCCCCTTAGCAGAAAAACACCCCCAAAGCATAATGTTTCCACCTCCATGTTTGACGGTGGGGATGGTGTTCTTGGGGCCATAGGCAGCATTCCTCCTCCTCCAAACACGGCGAGTTGAGTTGATGCCAAAGAGCTCGATTTTGGTCTCATCTGACCACAACACTTTCACCCAGTTCTCCTCTGAATCATTCAGATGTTCATTGGCAAACTTCAGACGGCCCTGTATATGTGCTTTCTTGAGCAGGGGGACCTTGCAGGCGCTGCAGGATTTCAGTCCTTCACGGCGTAGTGTGTTACCAATTGTTTTCTTGGTGACTATGGTCCCAGCTGCCTTGAGATCATTGACAAGATCCTCCTGTGTAGTTCTGGGCTGATTCCTCACCGTTCTCATGATCATTGCAACTCCACGAGGTGAGATCTTGCATGGAGCCCCAGGCCGAGGGAGATTGACAGATATTTTGTGTTTCTTCCATTTGCGAATAATCACACCAACTGTTGTCACTTTCTCACCAAGCTGCTTGGCGATGGTCTTGTAGCCCATTCCAGCCTTGTGTAGGTCTACAATCTTGTCCCTGACATCCTTGGAGAGCTCTTTGGTCTTGGCCATGGTGGAGCGTTTGGAATCTGATTGATTGATTGCTTCTGTGGACAGGTGTCTTTTATACAGGTAACAAGCTGAAATTAGGAGCACTCCCTTTAAGAGTGTGCTCCTAATCTCAGCTCGTTACCTGTATAAAAGACACCTGGGAGCCAGAAATCTTTCTGATTGAGAGGGGGTCAAATACTTATTTCCCTCATTAAAATGCAAATCAATTTATAACATTTTTGACATGCGTTTTCTGGATTTTGTTGTTGTTATTCTGTCTCTCACTGTTCAAATAAACCTACCATTACAATTATAGACGGATCATTTCTTTGTCAGTGGGCAACGTACAAAATCAGAAGGGGATCAAATACTTTTTTCCCTCACTGTATATCCATAGTAAAATGAGTCCTATATCGACATAACTTGAAAGGCCGCTCAGCAAGGAAGAAGCCACTGCTCTAAAACCGCTATAAAAAAGCCAGACTACGGTTTGCAACTGCACATGGGGACAAAGATTGTACTTTTTGGAGAAATGTCCTCTGGTCTGATTAAACAAAAATATAACTGTTTGGCCATAATGACCATCGTTATGTTTGAAGGAAAAAGGGGGCACTTGCAAGCCGAAGAACACCATAACAACCGTGAAGCACGGGGGTGGCAGCATCATGCTGTGGGGGTGCTTTCCTGCAGGAGGGACTGGTGCACTTCACAAAATAGATGGCATCATGAGGAAGGAAAATGATGTGGATATATTGAAGCAACATCTCAAGGCATTAGTCAGGAAGTTAAAGCTTGGTCGCAAATGGGTCTTCCAAATGGACAATGACCCCAAGCATACTTCCAAAGTAGGATTAAATGTCAAGAATTGTAAAAAACTGAGTTGAAATTGATTTGGCTAAGGTGTATGTAAACTTCCGACTTCAACTGTACACTGCAGCACTACAAGACCTTGGCTTCATATTGTCATTGTTGATTTCCAGAACACACACAAAGAAAAACGGAGCAAAGATGAAACATCTGTTTTACCAATTGTGGTTATTCCTACAGCTAACATTAATTGATCATGTGCATCCAACGATTGATTGATTGTTATTACTTGAGACTTAGAAGCATGTAGTGTAATGTATATAAAGCAATTACAAAACAGATATACATACATTCATCAAGTTTCAACATTTACTTTGGGGATACGGGGCTGTAGTATGGGATTTTGGGATGGATATGAAATTGACTGGAATTTAAAAGGATGACTGTGGTCTTGAATACAAGTGTTACTGTGTTACTGTATGAATAGAATAGAATAGCCCCATACTTACACAATGTGGGCTAGGTTCAGAGGTTTTTCTGGCATGTCAGGAAACATGGGGTGTAAAGGTTCTCTGCTGGACGCACAGCTCAGTGACTTGCTGAGAGCATTAGATAACTTCTTAGCAGGCGATTTCTGGGAGAAACACAAACATATGCTATTGTGATTTTAGAGGGCAAGAAGAGTAATGACTTTCAAAATATCATATAGGAGTAGATGTCATTGACCAAAACGTCACAGCACATCCAGTATAATCCATATCTAAAATGCATTTCCCCACTTCCCATCCATATCATTTAAATGTATCTGGTATTTCAAGGGAAATACACTGCATTTAATATTCCTTGCCACAGGTGAGGGAATCAAGTCACAGTCTCATCATCATCTGCATAGCACTGTATTGTGTTGGGTGAAGCTGAGCAGAAATGGCTGTCTGGCTGGCGTCCCCCTCCTCTCCCCACCCCGTCACCCCCCTTACCCATGACGTGTACTCCTTCATTTGGTGCTGGTTGCTATGGGAACCGCTGGCATGCCCCCTCCAGAAGCAGTCCTGACAGAGCTGGTAATTATGACATTGCTGGCAGCGGTAGCGGAAGCCCATTATACTCTCACTGTGGCAGTAGGAGCACTCGACCGGGTGGAACACTGCAGGGGCGGAGGGGGCGGGGTGGGGGGGGGGGCACACACACCAACATGTGCATGCATGTTCACACACACACACACACACACACACACACACAGACAGACACACACACACAGGTATACATATACACACACACCCCAAATGTTGTTAATACAAACACAAATTGGTTTGCAACCGATATCTTTATATAGGATAACCACACTGGGATGTTTTGCAGGTCTCTCAGACAGCGTTCTTCAAATAAAGGAGGGTGTTCTGTGAACATCAGTGTGTGTGAGACTAATGACACAGTTTGTACCTTATTAACGAGGGATTGGGCAGGGTGATGTGATGGTGGAAGGGTGTGTATGCGTGTGTGTTTGTGTGCTCGTTCATGGGTGTGTGTGTGCTTGAGCAAGTGTGTCTACTGTGTGGTGACTCAATGTGATGGTGAGAGACAAAATTCATACCCAGTGCTATCCCATGAATGTGTTAAATATGCTGTGGTGGCGGTGGTGGCTCACCATTCTCCACATTAGCCAAGCGATGCATGAGTGGTAACCACACCAGACACTGAGGAGGAGGGTCTGACATCAGCGTGTCCAGGAATGTGTTGAGGGAGACCTTTTTCTGTCGACATTAAGTAGAGGACAGGGTTACACATCACATACAGGTTATGCATATGGGGTAGCTAGTACTATAAAGAAAATACTGTTTTATAAAGGATGTTTTATACACAATTACAACATCCATCCAGTCTCTATACCTATAGTGTGTTATTCATTCATTCATTGATTTACTTGAAATTGTATGTTAATTTTCAGTATAGATAGGGACTCTTACCTGCTGTGCAAAGCAGGTTCTTGTGGCTTGCTCAGTATAGCCAAAGGAAGGCCCCTCAAAAACAGTCATTGGCAATTTGAGAACCTCCCTCAGAAACTGGTCGAATTGGGAGTACACCATTATGCCACCAGGGTCTGATATCTGTGAAAAAATATCTGGGCAGAAAGTGGGAGGGGAGGCGTTACTCCAAAATATATAAATAACGTATCAAATTAATTGTCAGCTGTCACCATTGTTAGCTAATTGCAGCATTAGACAGTGCAATCATGCTGTGTATTGCATTTACAAAGAACAAAAACAAATGAAAGCTGTGTAGCAATACATAGTAATTACCACAAAACATCAGCTAAAATAGCCTACCCTTCCATTTACTTTCCCCATGAGTTGCTGCGGCTGCTCTGCTGCACTAGATTTTGAGGATTATGTCATAAACCCTATCCTTCAGATGATAAATAATGACTTCTCCCAGCCGTGGAGAGTTAATGGCCACTGTTCTCGTTTTCTTCTAGGAAACATAGTGCAGGCAGACAGACTTAAATGAAAAACCCACTTGGACCACATTTAGTTGTATCACAAAATTCCTCGATAGAGAGAGACTTCACTGACTAAACACATTTTAAATTGTGCAGGATAACTATTAAGAAGTTAACAAAAAGCTAACTGACAATTAATTATCTGCAAATGGTTAATTCTCTCTCTAATGTATTATTCTTAACAAAGATAAACGGGTGAGCTTACATCTTAATTTATCCAAAATCTTTCCTCCGCAGATGGTTGCCAGGGCCATCTTCACAACAAAGACAGGCATTTTTCCGAGGCCTTCCCTAAAAGAGGAAATGTGTTTAGTATTTGTGTACTTGTATAATTTGTGTATTTGTGAACAGGTGAAGAATATACAGTATGAGAATAATACTTGCAATGATTTAAACACTTTAACATTAAAGGGATAGTTCAGGATTTTGGCAATGAAGCCCTTTATCTTCTTCCCCAGAGTCAGATGAACTCGTCAATACCATTTTTATGTCTCTGCGTGTAGTTTGGAGGAAGTTTGCTAACTAGCGTTAGCATAATTGCTAAGTACTTCGGAAAGTATTCAGACCCCTTGACTTTTTCCACATTTTGTTACGTTACAGCCTTATTCTAAAATGGATTAAATAAATACAAATCCTCATCAATTTACACACAATACCCCATAATGACAAAGCGAAAACAGGTTTTTAGAAACGAGTCTGTTCATCAAATTTCTGCCCTGCTAGAGCTGCCCCGGTCAACTGTAAGTGCAGTTTTTGTGAAGTGGAAGCGCCTAGGAGCAACAATGGCTCAGCCGCGAAGTGGTAGGCCACACAAGCACACAGAACGGGACCGTTGAGTGCTGAAGGACGTAGCGCGTAAAAATCGTCTGTCCTCGGTTGCAACACTCACTACCGAGTTCCAAACTGCCTCTGGAAGCAATGTCAGCACAATAACTGTTTGTCGGGAGCTTCATGAAATGGGTTTCCATGGCCGAGCAGCCCACACAAGCCTAAGATCACCATGCGCAATGCCAAGCGAAGGGCTGGAGTGGTATAAAGCTCGCCGCCATTGGACTCTGGAGCAGTGGAAACGCGTTCTATGGAGTGATGAATCACGCTTCACCATCTGGCAGTCCGACAACGAATCTGGGTTTGGCTGATGCCAGGAGAACGCTACCTGCCCCAATGCATAGTGCCAACTGTAAAGTTTGGCATAGGAGGAATAATGGTCTGGGGCTGTTTTTCATGGTTCGGGCTTGGCCCCTTAGTTCCAGTGAAGGGAAATCTTAACGCTACAGCATACAATGACATTCTAGACGATTCTGTGCTTCCAACTTTTTGGCAACAGTTTGGGGAAGGCCCTTTACTGTTTCAGCATGACAATGCCCCATGCACAAAGCGAGGTCCATACAGAAATGGTGTGTCGAGATCGGTGTGGAAGAACTTGACTGGCCTGCATAGAGCCCTGGCCTCAACCCCCTTGAACACCTTTGGGATGAATTGGAACACCGACTGCGAGCCAGGCCTAATCGCCCAACATCAGTGCCCGACCTCAGTAATGCTCTTGTGGCTGAATGGAAGCAAGTCCCTGCAGCAATGTTCCAACATTGAGTGGATAGCCTTCCCAGAAGAGTGGAGGCTGTTTTAGCAGCAAAGAGGGGACCAACTCCATATTAATGCCCATGATTTTGGAATGAGATGTTTGACGAGCAGGTGTCCACATACTTTTGGTCATGTAGTGTAGCATTAGAGCATTGACTGGAAGTATATGGTAACTGCTAGCATGCTAGTAGATACCATATACTTCCAGTCATTGCACTAACGGTAGTTAGCATTGGCTCGCAAAATTACCTCTAACTTCCTTCATACTGTATTCAGAGACATAAAAATGGTATCCATGAGTTCATCTGACTCTGTGGAAGTAAATATAGGGCTTCATTGCCAAAATCCGAAGTATCCCTTTTTAAGTTGCTCTTATACCTGTGTAACCCTGTAAATACAACAGTAAAACAAGCAAAAAGGGCTCAATTGTATTTATCATCACTATGTCATTTTCACTGTTTACTTTCTCTTGTCTTTCATCAGAAGTAAAGATTAATCAATGGCACAAGACCATTGTGAGACCATTGCATCGTTATAACAACAGTCAGTCTGGACATCCATTCTCTCATGAAAGACTGTGTGTACTGTGGACAGACTTATCACATATCAACACTTCACTTCAATGAAGTAACACATGCACACACTCACGCACACACACAAACAGAGAAGAAAATGATGCTCAGTGACCATCCCACAGTGATGAGGTGATAGTGGATACTCACGGGTCATAGGCAGCCAGGAGAAAGTTGAGTAGCAGACTGATGGACTGTTCCACATTGATCTGGTGTGTGGTGGGCATGCGCTTGTTGAGCTGGTAGAAGATGGTGGACAGTATTGCTTCCAGGCGAGCCACAGTGAACTCTGTGTTGAGGTCCATGTTGTTCAGGCCGTTCTCTCTGAACGCCTCGATCACGTTCCAGATGTCCACCAAATGGACTGTAAAATAATAGAATGGAATAGAATCCAATAAAAATGCATGGACACTGATTCCTTTTAGCGGTGTGTTTTTACAAATACAACTTTAAGACTATTACTATGAAACAGAAGATATCACACCATACTCACGATTGCATTTTTTCTGAACGAATCTGAGTTTGCAAGCAGTTCTATACGTGGACAATCTTATAGAATCCAACTCTTGCGCCCCTGTAGGAAAAATACATTAATTGTGAAAGGCAATATGACAGACAGTAACACAGGAATGCTCGTTGAGGATAGACTGTGTGGAGCTATTGGGGTAAGAGTGTTGCTCATAGGGTATTCATGTGGACATTAACACTAGATGTCTGTCTAGTTTTCCCAATGAATGCTGTTCTTCTGTGTAGGCCTATACTGGATGCTAATTATATTAATATTTTGTAGATGTAACCTAGTAAATTACTTGGTAAATGTAATTAATAACCTGGTGAATGACATTATTATGTATACTATAGTTATAATACTTTGAATGTGTATCTCTCTTCAGAGATGGCCCTGGACACTTACTCATCTCTGCAAACAGTTGTCGTCTCTCCGACATGATGTCGCCAATCCTCCCACGATCTTCAATCATTCTGATCAGAAGGAGAGAAAATCAGAGTGACTATTCATGAGTACTACTGGGCTACTGGGCCATGACAGTTTGAATTAACAGAAGAACATTCTTAAAATTCTTATAAAAAAATATAAAAAAATAATAGGGGATAGATCAGCTTTAATATTGCTGATGGATTGTAACTTCCATCAATGTAATTGTCTGCATCACTTCCAATACCCCATATGTTTTTTTTTCTTCTCGCAAATATATATATTATATATATCAATGTCCTCCAAATCAAGGTTTCACAATTAATGGCACCCTTAAATATTATAATGTAAATTTATTTTATTTTATTTTATTTTACCTTTATTTAACTAGGCAAGTCAGTTAAGAACCAATTCTTATTTTCAATGACGGCCTACACCAGCCAAACCCGGACGACGCTGGGCCAATTGGGTGCCGTCCTATGGGACTCCCAATCACAGCCGGTTGTGATACAGCCTGGAATCGAACCAGGGGGTCTGTTGTGACGCCTCAAGCACTGAGAGCCCCGAGTGGTAAATAACATCTACCAAAATTAAACCAGGAATTAAATTCCACTTATTTAAGTTTATCTAAGTCTTAAGGAACTATATTGAGCCATTACATCACTTTCTGTTTACTATGGTATAAAAATGAGGTAACACGCATGCAATATACCTTTGTCATCCAACACCATGAAGAAAACAAAAGAACTGGCAGTTCAAAAGAGACAGATGGTCGTAGACCTTCATAAATCTGGTAATGGCTACAAGAAGATCCCCAAACGATTGAATATACCACTGAGCACTGTCAGGGCAATTATTAAAAAATAAAAAAGATATGGTACAGTTTAAAACCTCACGGGTAGAGGACGCAAATGCATATTGCCCCCCAGGATAGGGAGGAGGATGGTGAGAGAAGCAACAAAATCCCCAAGAATCACTGTGAAAGAATTGCAGGCCTTGGTGGCATCTTGGGGTCATCAGGTTTCAAAAAGCACCATCAGACGCCACCTCCACAACCACAGGCTCTTTTGAAGGGTTGCCAGAAGAAAGCCCTTTCTGACCCCAAGACACAGATGCAAGAGCTTGGAGTTTGCCAAACGTCATTTACATTTATTACTGGAAGAAGGTGCTCTGGTCAGATGTGATCAAAATGGAACGTTTTGGTCAGATACAGCATCGGCATGTTTGGTGTCGAAACAGAGATGCATACAAGGAGAGGCACCTCACACCCACGGTGAAATATGGTGGTGGGTCAGTGATGTTTTGGGGCTTTTTTAATTGCAGAGGTCCAGGGGCACTGGTTAAGATTGATGGCATAATGAATTCCACCAAGTATCAGGCAATTCTGGCTGACAATCTGGTTGCTTCTGCCAGAAGGCTGGGACTTGGCCGTAGGTGGACTTTCCAAGAAGACAATGACTCAAAACATACCTCAAGATCCACACAGAAATGGTTCTGTGACAACAAAATCAATGTTCTGCCATGGCTAGCTCAGTCGCCGGACCTCAATCCAATCAAAAATCTATGGGTGTCACGCCCTGACTCATGGGACTCTTGTATGTTGAGTCAGGGTGTGGATATTCTATGTTGTATTTTCTATGTTGGCATTCTATGTTGTGTGTTTCTATGTTTGGCCGGGTGTGATTCCCAATCAGAGGCAGCTGTCGCTCATTGTCTCTGATTGGGGATCATACTTAGGCAGCCTATTGGCACTCGTTAGTTGTGGGATCTTGTTCCGGTTAGAGGCTTGTTTTGTGTGTAGCCTTAGGACTTCACGTTTCGTTGGTTTGTTGTTTTGTTTTTTTCTTCTTTTATTTACTTTTTTATATTTTAGTTTTCTAGATATTTTTTATTTTTTATTTTTCTCTTTCATATTTGGATTTTTATTTATTGTGTGTTTATTTATAAAAAAAAAAAAAAATGGATCAGCTTAATATTGCAGATAGATTGTATCTTCTATCAATGTAATTGTCTGCATCACTTCCAATCCCCCATGTTTTTTTAAATATATATATAATAATAATAATAATATGCCATTTAGCAGACGCTTTTATCCAAAGCGACTTACAGTCATGCGTGCATACATTTTTGTGTATGGGTGGTCCCGGGGATCGAACCCACTACCTTGGCGTTACAAGCGCCGTGCTCTACCAGCTGAGCTACAGAGGACCACCTTATTACTTTTCAACCCCACCATCCTTTCCCTACTTGGAGTAAATTAGTGAACAACAATGCCCAGGCCTATACTTCCGGTCTATACTTACTATCTACACCTTATGGACAGAGTTAATTTTACAATAATTCTATTATATACAGTGGGGAGAACAAGTATTTGATACACTGCCGATTTTGCAGGTTTCCCTACTTACAAAGCATGTAGAAGTCTGTAATTTTTATCATAGGTACACTTCAACTGTGAGAGACGGAATCTAAAACAAAAATCCAGAAAATCACATTGTATGATTTTTAAGTAATTAATTAGCATTTTATTGCATGACATAAGTATTTGATCACCTACCAACCAGTAAGAATTCCGGCTCTCACAGTCCTGTTAGTTTTTCTTTAAGAAGTCCTCTCTGTTCTCCACTCATTACCTGTATTAACTGCACCTGTTTGAACTCGTTACCTGTATAAAAGACACCTGTCCACACACTCAATCAAACAGACTCCAACCTCTCCACAATGGCCAAGACCAGAGAGCTGTGTAAGGACATCAGGGATAAAATTGTAGACCTGCACAAGGCTGGGATGGGCTACAGGACAATAGGCAAGCAGCTTGGTGAGAAGGCAACAACTGTTGGCGCAATTATTCGAAAATGGAAGAAGTTCAAGATGACGGTCAATCACCCTCGGTCTGGGGCTCCATGCAAGATCTCACCTCGTGGGGCATCAATGATCATGAGGAAGGTGAGGGATCAGCCCAGAACTACACGGCAGGACCTGGTCAATGACCTGAAGAGAGCTGGGACCACAGTCTCAAAGAAAACCATTAGTAACACACTACGCCGTCATGGATTAAAATCCTGCAGCGCACACAAGGTCCCCCTGCTCAAGCCAGCGCATGTCCAGGCCCGTCTGAAGTTTGCCAATGACCATCTGGATGATCCAGAGGAGGAATGGGAGAAGGTCATGTGGTCTGATGAGACAAAAATATAGCTTTTTGGTCTAAACTCCACTCGCCGTGTTTGGAGGAGAAGAAGGATGAGTACAACCCCAAGAACACCATCCCAACCGTGAAGCATGGAGGTGGAAACATCATTCTTTGGGGATGCTTTTCTGCAAAGAGGACAGGACGACTGCACCGTATTGAGGGGAGGATGGATGGGGCCATATATCGCGAGATCTTGGCCAACAACCTCCTTCCCTCAGCATGACAACGACCCGAAACACAAAGCCAGGGCAACTAAGGAGTGGCTCCGTAAGAAGCATCTCAAGGTCCTGGAGTGGCCTAGCCAGTCTCCAGACCTGAACCCAATAGAAAATCTTTGGAGGGAGCTGAAAGTCCGTATTGCCCAGCGACAGCCCCGAAACCTGAAGGATCTGGAGAAGGTCTGTATAGAGGAGTGGGCCTAAATCCCTGCTGCAGTGTGTGCAAACCTGGTCAAGACCTACAGGAAACGTATGATCTCTGTAATTGCAAACAAAGGTTTCTGTACCAAATATTAAGTTCTGCTTTTCTGATGTATCAAATACTTATGTCATGCAATAAAATGCATATTAATTACTTAAAAATCATACAATGTGATTTTCTGGATTTTTGTTTTAGATTCCGTCTCTCATAGTTGAAGTGTACCTATGATAAAAATGACAGACCTCTACATGCTTTGTAAGTAGGAAAACCTGCAAAATCGGCAGTGTATCAAATACTTGTTCTCCCCAGTGTATATATATATATATATATTTTTTTTGCTCCTGAACTTCTTCTACTCTCAACCTCTCCGATCATTTTCATGATGTCCATCCGGTTTGCTTCTATATGGCATATCTTTCTAACTGTGCTCTTTCCCAAAAGCTCCCAACATACAACCTATATACTTATTATGGACACAGTATGCTTACATTATTAGCTATCTTTGTTATTATTTGTTGTTATTTGTTATTTGTTGTTTTGTTAGTGTGTTTATTCAGTGTAATAAATATGTACGCATTTCACGCTGCGCCTTGGTCTGACCCGTCCATAAACTAACGTGACAGAAGATCCCACCAAATATGGACCAAGCAGCGTGCCCAGGAGCAGCCATCCTGGACATGGGAGGAGATCCTGGACGGAAAGGGTTCCTGGACATGGGAGGAGATTCAGGCTGGGATGGATCGCCGTCCTTGGGAGGAGACAGTGGAGGCCCGGTTTAGAGAGGAGCAACGGCAACGCAGAAGGCGCCGGCCAAGGAGGAAGCCTGAGAGACAGCCCCAATAACATTTTTTGGGGGGGGCTAAAAGGGTGGTTGGGGATCGATGGAGAAGAGCCCCGACCACTGCACTTGTGGGGGCTCTGGGAGGAGTCCTCACGGGAGGAGGACTGGGCGCAGAGAGTGAAAGACTGGTACAGTCGGAGATCTCTAACGTCAGTTTCCAGTCCGGTACATCTCGTGCCTGCGTCTCGCACCAAGCTAGTGGTGCGTGTGCCCAGTCCGGCCCGGCCCGTTCCTGTTCCTCGCACCAAGCCAGTGGTGCGTGTTCCCAGTCCGGCCCGGCCCGTTCCTGCTCCTCGCACCAGGCCAGTGGTGCGTGTTCCCAGTCTGGCCCGGCCCGTGCCTGCTCCCCGCACCAAGCCAGTGGTGCGTGTCGCCAGTCCGGCCCGGCCTGTTCCTGTTCCTCGCACCAGGCCAGTGGTGCGTGTCGCCAGTCCGGCCCGGCCTGTTCTGCTCCACGCACCAAGCCAGTGGTGCGTGTTCCCAGTCCGGCCCGGCCCGTACCTGCTCCCCGCACCAAGCCAGTGGTGCATGTTCCCAGTCCGGCCCGGCCTGTTCCTGTTCCTCGCACCAGGCCAGTGGTGCGTGTCGCCAGTCCGGCCCGGCCTGTTCCTGCTCCACGCACCAAGCCAGTGGTGCGTGTCGCCAGTCCGGCCTGGCCCATTCCTGCTCCCCGCACCAAGCCAGTGGTGCGTGTTCCCAGTCCGGTCCGGCCAGTTCCTGCTCCTCGCACCGGACCAGTGGTGCGTGTTCCCAGTCCGGCTCGGCCCGTTGCTGCTCCTCGCACCAAGCCAGTGGTGCGTGTTCCCAGTCTGGTACGGCCCATGCCTGCTTCCCGCACCAAGCCAGTGGTGCGTGTTCCCAGTCTGGTACGGCCCGTGCCTGCTCCCCGCACCAAGCCAGTGGTGCGTGTTCCCAGTCCGGCCCGGCCCGTTCCTGCTCCCCGCACCAAGCCAGTGGTACGTGTTTCCAGTCCGGCCCGGCCCGTTCCTGCTCCCCGCACCAAGCCAGTGGTGCGTGTTCCCAGTCCGGCCCGGCCCGTTCCTGTTCCTCGCACCAAGCCAGTGCTGCGTGTCGCCAGTCCAGCCCGGCCCGTTCCTGTTCCTCGCACCAAGCCAGTGGTGCGTGTCGCCAGTCCGGCCCGGCCCGTGCCCGTTCCAGAGCAGTCCGCTCCACCGGGGTCCAGTCCAGCTCCTGTCAGCGGCTCCACTCCGGAGCCAGAGCAGTCCGCTCCACCGGTGCCCAGTCCAGCTCCGGTCAGCGGATCCACTCCGGAATCAGAGTAGTCCGCTCCACCGGGGTCCAGTCCAGCTCCGGTCAGCAGCTCCAGTCCGGAGCCAGATTAGTCCGCTCCACCGGTGCCCAGTCCAGCTGCGGTCAGCGGCTCCAGTCCGGAGCCAGAATAGTCCGCTCCACCGGTGCCCAGTCCAGCTCCGGTCAGCGGCTCCAGTCCAGACCCAGACGTCAGCCCCTCTCCAGGTTCGGGGTCTCCCACACCAGGGTCCAGACAGGGCTTGGTACTTCGTGGGAGGAAGGAGAGGGGAAGCAGCGCGCCGAGGTCCAGACCAGACCAGGGGCGCAACAGGGAGGCTGAGAGAATGTGGTCGTCACGCCCGGAGCCGGGGTACTGTCACGCCCTGATTCATGGGACTCTTGTATGTTGAGTCAGGGTGTGGATATTCTATGTTGTATTTTCTATGTTGGCATTCTATGTTGTGTGTTTCTATGTTTGGCCGGGTGTGATTCCCAATCAGAGGCAGCTGTCGCTCGTTGTTTCTGATTGGGGATCATACTTAGGCAGCCTATTGGCACTCGTTAGTTGTGGGATCTTGTTCCGGTTAGAGGCTTGTTTTGTGTGTAGCCTTAGGACTTCACGTTTCGTTGGTTTGTTGTTTTGTTAGTGTGTTTATTCGGTGTAATAAATATGTACGCATTTCACGCTGCGCCTTGGTCTGACCCGTCCTTAAACGAACGTGACAATGGGGCTGAGTTGAAGAGGGCAGTTGATAAGCGTAAACCCAATAATGTGAAGGATCTTGAAAGTGTCTGCATAGAGGAATGGTCCAAAATCCCTCCAAATGTGTTCCTTAACCTTGTCAAACATTACAGGCAAAGACTCCATGCTGTTATCCTTGCCAGAGTTGGTTGCACTAAGTACTAAATGAGGGGTGCCAATAATGATGAAACCTTGATTTTGGTTACATTTATTTTGTATTAAATAATTGTATGATTTTGGTTGGTTCCATTGAAACATGAATAAAGAACAGTATTTCTCACATGTTGGTATTTTGAGTTTATCTCTATAATTATATTGTTTATATTTTTTAAAGTATTGTTTGTGCATTGCCAGTCAGGGGTGCCAGTAATTTTGGAGCCCACTGTACATACATATATACACATACATATACATTTCCTTTTTTAAAATATATTTCCCTTTATTACTTTCCAACCCCACCACCCCTTCCCTAATTGGAGTAAACTAGTGAACAACAATGCTTAGGCCTCTACTTCCAGCTTATACATACAGTGGGGGAAAAAAGTATTTAGTCAGCCACCAATTGTGCAAGTTCTCCCACTTAAAAAGATTAGAGAGGCCTGTAATTTTCATCATAGGTACACATCAACTATGACAGACAAATTGAAGAAAAAAAATCCAGAAAATCACATTGTAGGATTTTTAATGAATTTATTTGCAAATTATGGTGGAAAATAAGTATTTGGTCACCTACAAACAAGCAAGATTTCTGGCTCTCACAGACCTGTAACTTCTTCTTTAAGAGGCTCCTCTGTCCTCCACTCGTTACCTGTATTAATGGCACCTGTTTGAACTTGTTATCAGTATAAAAGACACCTGTCCACAACCTCAAACAGTCACACTCCAAACTCCACTATGGCCAAGACCAAAGAGCTGTCAAAGGACACCAGAAACAAAATTGTAGACCTGCACCAGGCTGGGAAGACTGAATCTGCAATAGGTAAGCAGCTTGGTTTGAAGAAATCAACTGTGGGAGCAATTATTAGGAAATGGAAGACATACAAGACCACTGATAATCTCCCTCGATCTGGGGCTCCACGCAAGATCTCACCCAGTGGGGTCAAAATGATCACAAGAACGGTGAGCAAAAATCCCAGAACCACACTGGGGGAGCTAGTGAATGACCTGCAGAGAGCTGGGACCAAAGTAACAAAGCCTACCATCAGTAACACACTACGCCGCCAGGGACTCAAATCCTGCAGTGCCAGACGTGTCCCCCTGCTTAAGCCAGTACATGTCCAGGCCCATCTGAAGTTTACTAGAGTGCATTTGGATGATCCAGAAGAGGATTGGGAGAATGTCATATGGTCAGATGAAACCAAAATAGAACTTTTTGGTAAAAACTCAACTCGTCGTGTTTGGAGGACAAAGAATGCCGAGTTGCATCCAAAGAACACCATACCTACTGTGAAGCATGGGGGTGGAAACATCATGCTTTGGGGCTGTTTTTCTGCAAAGGGACCAGGACGACTGATCCGTGTAAAGGAAAGAATGAATGGGGCCATGTATCGTGAGATTTTGAGTGAAAACCTCCTTCCATCAGCAAGGGCATTGAAGATGAAACGTGGCTGGGTCTTTCAGCATGACAATGATCCCAAACACACCGCCCGGGCAACGAAGGAGTGGCTTCGTAAGAAGCATTTCAAGGTCCTGGAGTGGCCTAGCCAGTCTCCAGATCTCAACCCCATCGAAAATCTTTGGAGGGAGTTGAAAGTCTGTTTTGCCCAGTGACAGCCCCAAAACATCACTGCTCTAGAGGAGATCTGCATGGAGGAATGGGCCAAAATACCAGCAACAGTGTGTGAAAACCTTGTGAAGACTTACAGAAAACGTTTGACCTGTGTCATTGCCAACAAAGGGTATATAACAAAGTATTGAGAAACTTTTGTTATTGACCAAATACTTATTTTCCACCATAATTTGCAAATAAATTCATTAAAAATCCTACAATGTGATTTTCTGTCATAGTTGACGTGTACCTATGATGAAAATTACAGGCCTCTCTCATCTTTTTAAGTGGGAGAACTTGCACAATTGGTGGCTGACTAAATCATTTTTTCCCCACTGTACTATATACATTTTATGGACACAGTCAATTTTACAATAATTCAAAAATTCTTTGATTCTTTGCTTTCTAATAGTGATACCTTTGTAATGGATGAATGACTATATCATTATTGTGTGCAGCAAAATATAGTGCTTCCCAGGTGATAATTTTGCCATTAGAATACATGAGTAACACTACTAACTCAACAGCTTGTTAGTAGTTGTAGTATTATTCACATAGCAGTGCTACTGCTCAGCTGCAACTTCTATCATGTAATGTACGTCCTACGGTCCTACTGACTCAATGCATTTAGTAAGCCCTCAGTACAGAGTTAAACACACAATTCAACAAGCGCAACACTATCCCCTTGGTTATCACCACCAGTACACTCTACATACTGTATCACCATCCACTTGATGTCACCATCCACACACTATTATCTAAATTCACTTCATAGCGTGAATCACCACAAGATACTGTATCAATAGTTCCAAGAGGCCGTCACTAAACATCATCTGTGAAATTATTGACATTTAGAGTTGTTTTTTTCATCAATGCTGAGCACTTTTGACCCCCTCACACTGCCCATCTTCACTTGAATAGATGGTGGCATGCATGACCAGTGTTTCCTCTATATTTATTTAAATTGTGGCCGCCACTCCAAAAAATATGATGTAAAACGTTTTCATTATAAACTTAATCGACTAAAATCAGATATAAAGTATGTAGAAAAGATAATGGAGCTATCTATTTTTAAATAAGGTCTTCATTGAGAACTAACAAAACTGTCCAGTGTTTCCAGATTCCTATGAAATATGACCTATAATGACTTACAATATGAGTTAAATAGTTTTCCTTCCCAAAAATGGTAGTTAAGTATGTTAAAAAGCAGCTTTTCTGTGTCGGAATGGTATGGGCGTACCCCAACAACAGAATGGTGTGGACGTATACCGGTCATAAAAAATATTAATACAGTAGACCACGGATTGGCCAGCTCATCCTCCTCTAGACCACTGATTGGCCAGCTCATCCTCCTCAGGAGTATGGCATCATACTCTATAGCCTTGGTCACACTGCAGGACTTAATGCTCAAATCAGTTTTGTTTTTCAAATCCGTTTGGAATATCGACTCTCCAAACAGCAAGTTACAAGTGACAAATCGGATTTGTGTGTGTTCAGACAGCAGTCATTTGCTGACATGGCTACGCTAGTTGTCAGAGTAATGACTGGTGTGTGCGCAGTGGTGTAGGCTGATTGGTGGTGGTGCTCGTGCTTCCTATCACTCAGAAGTTCTGTAGCAACCTAAGGTGACAACAATGCCTGCCATGGACAAGTCCCAGTTGCTTTGAATGTTCAAAATCATAGTATAAGAACACTTTTAAAGGATAAGATGATCCAACTTTCAAAATGAATCATTTTTGGCTAGCCACAGCAGTCAACTAGCTAGCTAAATTGGGTAGCTGTTTAGCTTTCTAGCACATTCACTAATTTGTTTGTAAACAATGAACAAGCTAGTTAGCTACAGTGGGGGAAAAAAAGTATTTAGTCAGCCACCAATTGTGCAAGTTCTCCCACTTAAAAAGATGAGAGAGGCCTGTAATTTTCATCATAGGTACACATCAACTATGACAGACAAATTGAGAAAACATTTTCCCTGAAAATCACATTGTAGGATTTTTTATGAATTTATTTGCAAATTATGGTGGAAAATAAGTATTTGGTCACCTACAAACAAGCAAGATTTATGGCTCTCACAGACCTGTAACTTTATGGCTCACACTCGTTACCTGTATTAATGGCACCTGTTTGAACTTGTTATCAGTATAAAAGACACCTGTCCACAACCTCAAACAGTCACACTCCAAACTCCACTATGGCCAAGACCAAAGAGCTGTCAAAGGACACCAGAAACAAAATTGTAGACCTGCACCAGGCTGGGAAGACTGAATCTGCAATAGGTAAGCAGCTTGGTTTGAAGAAATCAACTGTGGGAGCAATTATTAGGAAATGGAAGACATACAAGACCACTGATAATCTCCCTCGATCTGGGGCTCCACGCAAGATCTCACCCCGTGGGGTCAAAATGATCACAAGAACGGTGAGCAAAAATCCCAGAACCACACGGGGGGACCTAGTGAATGACCTGCAGAGAGCTGGGACCAAAGTAACAAAGCCTACCATCAGTAACACACTACACCGCCAGGGACTCAAACCCTGCAGTGCCAGACATGTCCCCCTGCTTAAGCCAGTACATGTCCAGGCCCGTCTGAAGTTTGCTAGAGTGCATTTGGATGATCCAGAAGAGGATTGGGAGAATGTCATATGGTCAGATGAAACCAAAATAGAACTTTTTGGTAAAAACTCAACTCGTCGTGTTTGGAGGACAAAGAATGCTGAGTTGCATCCAAAGAACACCATACCTACTGTGAAGCATGGGGGTGGAAACATCATGCTTTGGGGCTGTTTTTCTGCAAAGGGACCAGGACGACTGATCCGTGTAAAGGAAAGAATGAATGGGGCCATGTATCGTGAGATTTTGAGTGAAAACCTCCTTCCATCAGCAAGGGCATTGAAGATGAAACGTGGCTGGGTCTTTCAGCATGACAATGATCCCAAACACACCGCCCGGGCAACGAAGGAGTGGCTTCGTAAGAAGCATTTCAAGGTCCTGGAGTGGCCTAGCCAGTCTCCAGATCTCAACCCCATAGAACATATTTGGAGGGAGTTGAAAGTCTGTGTTGCCCAGCGACAGCCCCAAAACATCACTGCTCTAGAGGAGATCTGCATGGAGGAATGGGCCAAAATACTAGCAACAGTGTGTGAAAACCTTGTGAAGACTTACAGAAAACGTTTGACCTGTGTCATTGCCAACAAAGGGTATATAACAAAGTATTGAGAAACTTTTGTTATTGACCAAATACTTATTTTCCACCATAATTCGCAAATAAATTCATAAAAAATCCTACAATGTGATTTTCAGGATTTTTTTTTCTCATTTTGTCTGTCATAGTTGACGTGTACCTATGATGAAAATTACAGGCCTCTCTCATCTTTTTAAGTGGGAGAACTTGCACAATTGGTGGCTGACTAAATACTTTTTTTCCCCACTGTACCACGTGTTCTTGTCAAACTGTCAACAATCACTCCGGCAGACCACACTCATATGTTTTATTCTTGTTCTAAGCTGTCTGAGTATTGGGTCATCCTTTTTTAATACTCTCTCTAAAATTCTAGATATTGACCTGCAGCCTTGTCATTTGATAGCTATATTTGGAGTTCCATCTTTGTTGCCTAGTCTCACTAAAAGTAAAGCAGACGTTGTAGTGTTTGCTTCCAGCCGGCAGAGCTTGCTTAATTGGAAATCCTCAAAACCTCCCACTGTATCAGCCTGGTTGAAAGATCTAATGTAATTTCTACACTTTGAAATTAAATACACTTTGAGAGGTTGTACTGATAACTTTTTCTTGAGATGGCAGCCTTTAATTTCCTTTTTTGAATAGTTGCCTTCTATTGATCAGGAGTAAGAATTTTGGCCAACGGGATATGAGAGGGTGTGGGAGGGAAGGGATAGTATGTTGTTATATTTATTTTTTATTTTTGTGTATGTACAGTACCAGTCAAAAGTTTGGACACACCTACTCATTCAAGGGTTTGTCTTTATTTTTACTATTTTCTACATTGTAGAATAATAGTGAAGACATCAAAACTATGAAATAACACATATGGAATCATGTAGTAACCAAAACAATGTTAAACAAATCAAAATATATTTTTTATTTGAGATTCTTCAAAGTAGCCACCCTTTGCCTTGATGACAGCTTTGTACACTCTTGGCAATCTCTCAACCAGCTTCATGAGGAATGCTTTTCCAACAGTCTTGAAGGAGTTCCCACATATGCTGAGCACTTGTTGGCTGCTTTTCCTTCACTCTGGGGTCCAACTCATCCCAAACCATCTCAATTGGGTTGAGGTCGGGTGAAGGTGGAGGCCAGGTCATCTGATGCAGCACTCCATCACTCTCCTTGGTCAAATAGCCCTTACACAGCCTTTAGGTGTGTTTTTGGTCATTGTCCTGTTGAAAAACAAATAATAGTCCCACTAAGCGCAAACCAGATGGGATGGCGTATCGCTGCAGAATGCTGTGGGAGCCATGCTGGTTAAGTGTGCCTTGAATTCTAAATAAATCACTGACAGTGTCACCAGCAAAGCACCCCCACACCATCACACCTCCTCCTCCATGCTTCGCGGTGGGAACCACACATGTAGAGATCATCCGTTCACCTACTCTGCATCTCACAAAGACACGGCAGTTGTAACCAAAAATCTCAAATTTGGACTCATCAGACCAAAGGACAGATTTCCACCGCTCTAATGTCCATTGGTCGTGTTTCCTGGCCCAAGCAAGTCTCTTCTTCTTATTGGTGTCCTTTAGTAGTGTTTTTTTGCAGCAATTCGACCATGAAGGCCTGATTCACGCGGTCTCTTCTGAACAGTTGATGTTGAGATTTGTCTGTTACTTGAACTCTGTGAAGCATTTATTTGTTCTACAATCTGAGGTGCAGTTAATTGCCGATTTCTGAGGCTGGTAACTTGAATGAACTTAACCTCTGCAGCAGAGGTAACTCTGGGTCTTCCTTTCCTGTGGCAGTCCTCATGAGAACCAGTTCCCCCCCCCCCCCCCCCCCCCCCCCCCCCTACCTTGTCACAACACAACTGATTGGCTCAAACGCATTAAGAAGGAAAGAAATTGCACAAATTAACTTTTAACCAGGCACACCTGTTAATTCCAGGTGACTACCTCATGAAGCTGGTTGAGCGAATGCCAAGAGTGTGCAAAGCTGTCATCAAGGCAAAGGGTGGCTACTTTGAAGACTCTCAAATATAAAATATATTTTGATTTGTTTAACACCTTTTTGGTTACTACATGATTCCATATGTGTTATTTCATAGATTTGATGTCTTCACTATTATTCTACTATGTAGAAAATAGTAAAAAATTAAGAAAAACCCTGGAATTAGTAGGTGTGTCCAAACTTTTGACTGGTACTGTATATGTATATTTATTAGGGCTGTCAAAAATAGCGCGTTAACGACGTTAATTAGTTGTTTGCTGTTAATTACGTCAATTTTTTTAACGCATTTCACGCATGCGCAGTGTGACAAATTATTCAGGTCAGGAAAGTGGTTGGGAGCTAGAGGCGAGATGGAGCAAGGTGAGCAAAGTGGGCCTATTGACGGATTCAAATATAAAAAGAATGATGATGGTACAGTTAACAAGTACAAGGTTATTTGCAAGATTTGTAAGAAGGAGTTTCAATTTCACCGGAGCTGTTCAAGCTTGAAGTACCATGTCAACGCCAAACATGCGTTTGCTGGGCCGTCAGATTCAGCAAGTGGTTTGCGCCAGACCACGCTGAATGTTTGCAGGCAATTAACAAAAATCAACCTCAGATAATTTGACCAACACAATAGCAAAATGGATTGCAAAGGATTGTAGACCCATTAGCATTGTAGAAGACTCAGGTTTCCTTGATGTTTTGCAAGTGGCATCTCAAGACTCATTCTATAAGCCACCGTCAAGAGCCACAGCCAAAGACAAATATTATGGTGTGTAGTATGTTTCAGCTTGATTTAAAACACCATTATTTGGCTGTGTTAATAAACAGACATAATATGAAAATTATGTATCTGTGTCCTGTTATTTATCTTTTGGTATGCATTTCAGAAAAAAAATGGTTAGGATTCAGGTGTAATTGCAAATAGTGATTAATCATGATTAATCCACTGAAAATTCTGATTAATTTGATTAAAAATTTTAATCATTTGACAGCCCTAATATTTATATATTATTATTTCCAATTGTATGTTTTAATTTATTTTATTTTTGTATGTATGGTGCTTTTGTTGTTAAGGGGAGGGAGGTGTTTCAACAAGTATAGAGGGGATAAAAGGATGTATCTGTTCAATTTGTAATTTGTATTCCTTTATATGTCCAATAAACAAAATCTATAAAAAATTAAAATTAAAATAAAGATATGCCAAATAACAGTCTAAAAACCACTTGAGGGCAAATAAATCAGATTTTACTGTTCAAACACAAGTTGCATGGCCAGGAATCAGATTTGTATCTTCAAACTGCCAATGTGAACAAGGCTTAAGAGGAAGTAGCAAGCATTTCTTAAATGGTCTGTTTGAGATACAAGTTTCAGGTGGGGTTTTTGAAGTGTTTATTTTTCTTCTCCAATTTATGCGTTGGGCACAAATGGGAGTATAGATTGAGTCAAAAACATTATTTGGGTATAAGTTAACAGAATATTAAAAGTGAGATTTTCACTGGACAGTTACTTCAAAAGTACAAATGTATAGAATTGCAGGAAATTAGCTTTAAAACTGCACATTTTCTCTCAGCACCATGAAAACATTTGTAGAATTGCAGGAAACTAGATTTAAAACTGTAAAATATTATCTCTGCCCCATGGGATTTATTTTTAGAATTGCAGTAAATTAGCAAAACACAGTCTCTGTGGCCAAGCGGAGGGCCTCTAAAATCCTAGGGGAAACACTGATGACAGATCATTTCTTACCAGTTGACCTTCAGGACACACTAAATAATGTAAGTATGTAAACAAAAGTCAGTCGCCAGCAGACTACAGGGCATTGAAAAACTTGAATGAGACAAGGCTGAGTGTTTCACAGGGGCAGAGTGGCAGAGCTAGCGAACGCTCACACCATGCCTCGCTGCACACTGTCCAAAGCAATCTAATACACCTAGTCATGTGCTTAGTTGCCATAGCAAAGAAGTAGCAAAGAACCCAGTCACTCCATTGTCCATTTCTAAAAGACAGGGTGCAATGTCGTTGTCGTCACCCCCCCCTTTAGAGGGGTCCAAAGTTTGTGGAGCAATGTTTTTCACCAACCTTTCGTCATACATCTTCTCTTGAAGATCTAACAGGCACCATTCATGTTTGAATCAGGATTTGAATACATTGCAATTACAAATAGAATAAATCTACAATAGAACTTGTCCATTATACAATGACAACAGAAATGATAAACGACTTTGACTCATTACACTCGTTCTACTAAGACTGGTCACTTTTCAACAAATAGGGCTGTAGAATGTATATAATTGAAAGGGATAAATATGCAAATATTATGCAGTGGTCTCAGGTTACAGGCAGGAACTTCCAAATGTTTCATTCCAAATTCAAGGTATTGTACACATAAACAAAATGGACAACTATTTTTCTGCACACAGACCCTTTTCTGCAGAGTTACGCCCTCTATGGTAACACCGGGTGAAATTGATAAAAAGTACTGCATTCACTAGACACTGTTTTCACACAATAAAGATGACTGTAAACAAAAAGTATCTGTCTGTAATGTCAAGTTTTAGTTGAAGTAAGTTACAACAATGTTAAACACTTTTCAGTGAATAATTCATTAATCATCCTAGCACAATCTACTGGAGATGTCTCATCTACAGTAGTGCAGAAATGCATAACTAACTAATAATAACATGGTAAAACTCCCTTTTCATATCACAAAAGAAACAGACAAGTTCTTGTGCCAAGTATTTGACCTTACGAAGGCTATTTTTAATCTGTGAAATAAATAGCTAAGATTGACACAAACTACTATTCCCCTGGTGAAGATTGACAACAAACAACACAAATCAGGAGATTACAAACTTGTCAATGTTGAACGTACCCTTCAGAATGTACCATGTTCCTCTGTTTCCTTCTCCTTTTCTGTCTGTGTGCTACTCCAAAGGCATGTCCTTCTTAACAACAACTGTACAGAGTATAAAGCCCTCTCTACCAGGCAAACATGACATCAAAAGCAGCCAGCACCAGTTGGATGGTGGTTAGCTTAGCTACAGTCAGATATCTGAAATTAGAAACTGTCAGGACACAGCTTGTGTTGCTGCCTCTATCTTTAACTTCAAATGAACAGGCTCCACATTCTTGTACAGCTTTACTGGCTCTCCAGTTGCAGCCCCTTCCAACCTCTCGCTTGGCGCCTGCCCAGCGAGCATTACTCTTGCTCTGTGCTAGTGTCAGATACACTCGCTGTATTCGAAAATAACTGCCCTAAAACGAGCAAATCATCGTACACCATAAACATTGCAGATGACTTGTAACTCTCCACCGCTGCCAGAATCAAACTAAGGCTATAAAGTCAGTTTCTCTCAGCGATATTAAAATGATCACATTTATTGATGCAGTGGATAAATAGACTCTCTTGCCCAGTTATTAACAGAGCTCCAGGCTGCTGAACCATTCCCTTATAAGTCCCTTATTTATATTATGGCTCTATTTTTACCACAGGTGAAGAAAGAAAAGCACAGGAGACTGTGGTGGTTTTCATTTATATTCTTAAACTACTTGGATCAGGTTGTCATACAGTATTTCCGGGACACGAGCAGTTGCTTGAGTTGTGACCCTGCATTTCCCCATAGCAGACTGAGTCATAAGCTATATATTGCAGCTGTTCATGTATTTACTCCTTCCACTGATTGCCCAGTGTTATTTTTACATCATGAGAATATAATTGATGTTGGCATCTGATTTCTAACCACAGTGTAGAGCTGGGTGTAGAGCTGTCTACTTCGTTCAGTTATGAAGTTAACTGTACAGAAATCACCAACAAAAACACCCATCACATATTAAAATTGTGTATTTATAGCAGCATATATGGTCAGTTAATAAGAAGTCTAAACTGTCTTATGTTGTCTGTCAGGGAGTGTATTACATTGGACACTGCAGTGTCTCTGAGTTGTACCAGTCAGTTCTCTGCTTGTGTGGCCTCTGGCCTGGGCAGACAGCACTGACTGGTACAACTCAGAGACATTGCAAAGAGGCCATGGGTCATTGCTCCACAAGACAAAAACGTTGTTTTTGACATGTTTATGGTTGTTGTTCCTGAATATAACTTTGTTGTTCCTGAATTGACACTTTGTTCCAATGTGAACTCCTTTGTGGGGGAAAACAACTCTGAAACTGTCAGCTTTACAGTGGTGATTAGTGAAACTGCTTCAGGTAATCTCTGCAACAACAGAAACAACTGGATGGGTGGGAAATGAATGCCGCTATATACCAAACTGTTGGTTGATGATGCCATTACTGTTTTACAACCAGCCATGATTGCCATGTCAATGACTACATTACTTTATCTAGAATGGATCGTGCTCAGCTCTGGTGTATTTCAGAAAGAATTGAGAAACAGTATGATTGACAGTGTGAAATACTGAGAGCATCATATTTAAATGTTTTTTGTCAAACACACGTGAGTGAAGAAAGGCAACAGGCAGCAGATGACAGATTTATATGCACATCCATTGCAAAATAAACTGTATCCATGTAACGAGAGGCATCTCTACAAATGAGCGATATAAAGGTGTCATTTTTACAACCCCCAAATTGTCAATAGTTTAACCCTATTAAATGGCATGCATTTTGCCTCGTCATAAAAAAAGATCGATCTCACTAGTTCCTATTACACAGTAACTTGGATTTTAAACGAGTGATAATGTCGTTTCACTACCGATGTTGCAGTTCATTTGTGCTGTCTATACTTACCAGGATTTCGAGGCATGGTCATAAAACTGCATTGTTTACATCCAGGAATTGAAGTGTCAGCCGTATCCATAGATATGATTACGAATCATTTAGATCAATTGTCCATTACCCCTAGAACGGTGATAATCCTGTTATTACTAACGCTTTTTGCAGTGGTGCTGTGTTCGAAATTTTCGAGTAACGTTACCGCAACCCAGCATTTGCCTCGAGTATGTGGCCTCTGCCGATGACGTAATGTGGAATCTCTTCACTTGCTTCAGTGAATTCTTACCAAATGTTGAAGTTGACAAAAGAAACATACAAACACATAATTATTCAACCCACCATGACTACAATGCACAGGAAGGATACGTGCAGTGTGTGGAAACAATCCCCATCTGATTTTTATTATTATTATTTATATATGTTGTTGTTGTTGTTGTTGTTGTTGTTGAGTCAGATAAGCACAGTAATAGCAGCTTGGTTTGTGATTATCAGTGGCCACTTTCAGAGTAAGCTATGCCTCTTTTAAAAGACAGAACATCCTCCTCACACAGATAGAGAGGATGCAAAGTACAACAAAAATGCACCTCCACCTGGGGTGTATACACTAGAACCCTAACCCTAATCATCTTAACCCCTACACTTACCTTGACCATAACCCTTACCTAACCTAACCCTACCCTTAAACCTTACCTTAACCGTTTTACATTTTAACTTCAATAGGGTTACGTCAGAGTTGGACCACGTACATACTTTTCTGTTTTCACTAGGAACCAAATGAACCAAATGGAAGCCAACAGAAGCAAACAGAATAAAACAAGGAGGGACCTACATTAATTTGTCCAATAGAAACTCTCGTTTACGTTGCAAAACGTTTTGGAACTGTTTTGCTTCCTTGCAACTGTTTGCTATGGTCTTCTTCTAAATGAAGTTTGCCACCTGAGATGGTGGCAAACTTCAGTCACATTTGATAATCCTTTTCCAGTCTCTGCTTGTAAAGTAGTAATTGTAAGTATTCTCAGTACAACTTGTAGGACAGAACACAGTGTGTATTTACTGATGGTGTTAAATCAGGTTTTCTGGACATACAGTGGGGAGAACAAGTATTTGATACACTGCCGATTTTTCAGGTTTTCCTACTTACAAAGCATGTAGAGGTCTGTAATTTTTTATCATAGGTACACTTCAACTGTGAGAGACGGAATCTAAAACAAAAATCCAGAAAATCACATTGTATGATTTTTAAGTAATTAATTTGCATTTTATTGCATGACATAAGTATTTGATCACCTATCAACCAGTAAGAATTCCGGCTCTCACAGACCTGTTAATTTTTCTTTAAGAAGCCCTCCTGTTCTCCACTCATTACCTGTATTAACTGCACCTGTTTGAACTCGTTACCTGTATAAAAGACACCTGTCTCAAACAGACTCCAACCTCTCCACAATGGCCAAGACCAGAGAGCTGTGTAAGGACATCAGGGATAAAATTGTAGACCTGCACAAGGCTGGGATGGGCTACAGGACAATAGGCAAGCAGCTTGGTGAGAAGGCAACAACTGTTGGCGCAATTATTAGAAAATGGTAGAAGTTCAAGATGACGGTCAATCACCCTCGGTCTGGGGCTCCATGCAAGATCTCACCTCGTGGGGCATCAATGATCATGAGGAAGGTGAGGGATCAGCCCAGAACTACACGGCAGGACCTGGTCAATGACCTGAAGAGAGCTGGGACCACAGTCTCAAAGATAACCATTAGTAACACACTACGCCGTCATGGATTAAAATCCTGCAGCGCACGCAAGGTCCCCCTGCTCAAGCCAGCGCATGTCCAGGCCCGTCTAAAGTTTGCCAATGACCATCTGGATGATCCAGAGGAGGAATGGGAGAAGATAATGTGGTCTGATGAGACAAAAATAGAGCTTTTTGGTCTAAACTCCACTCACCGTGTTTGGAGGAAGAAGAAGGATGAGTACAACCCCAAGAACACCATCCCAACCGTGAAGCATGGAGGTGGAAATATCATTCTTTGGGGATGCTTTTCTGCAAAGGGGACAGGACGACTGCACCGTATTGAGGGGAGGATGGATGGGGCCATGTATCGCGAGATCTTGGCCAATAACTTCCTTCCCTCAGTAAGAGCATTGAAGATGGGTCGTGGCTGGGTCTTCCAGCATGACAACGACCCGAAACACACAGCCAGGGCAACTAAGGAGTGTCTCCGTAAGAAGCATCTCAAGGTCCTGGAGTGGCCTAGCCAGTCTCCAGACCTGAACCCAATAGAAAATCTTTGGAGGGAGCTGAAAGTCCGTATTGCCCAGCGACAGCCCCGAAACCTGAAGGATCTGGAGAAGGTCTGTATGGAGGAGT